ATACGATCAGCTTGAATGGTGGCGGACAGGAGAACGGGTACGGATCCGACAAGTCAAAAAAGGACAAGGCTAAATCCAAAACGCCAGAGCGCCAATGACCCGGGATACGTGGGAATAGCGGCTTTTATTGAGAATATGAGCGGTTCATATATATTATTATTGGTCATGGGCCATTAGTGAAGACTGTATTGTTCGGAGGAATTAACAAACAAAATAGCATTTCGCATTGGTGTACTTGGGCCAGGTTTTATATTGTTGGTATTTTTTTAGGGGGGAGTTGTAGGACAATTGACTTCCTAAGAATCAAGGGCCAGGTTCATACCACACGGGCCAAAGATGAACAGGTTTCAAATGGTGCTCAATTCTATTGTCGAAGATGGCTGTGTAACGAAAACCAATAAGAATCCTCAGTCATACCAAATGGCATTCATGCCGAATCCCGGCTCGGGCACTCTCACTCTAGCAACGCGAGCTAAAAACTCATCCTGCCAGCGATAAATCTCCAGCCAGCCTTCCTGGTCATCGGTGATGGCCACCCAGTCATCGCACCAGTCACTGGGGGCGACGGCATTGCTGTGACCGCCACTGGTGGGTGTAGGGTTGAGGCATATCTGCCTCTCGATGGCGCCGTTCTTGGCCAGCTTAAAGGCGGCAATGTAGCCTGTCAAGTCAAACGAGTTTGCCCTCGAGGTGGCAAACAGATAATCGCCCGAGTGAGACAGCGAGCACACATCGGCACGATACATGGTCCAGGGGTCGGGAATGCCAGGCGGGATGAGGGGGTACTGCCTGTGCGTGTAGACGGGCATGCGCGTCGCGGGATCAATGAGGTACTCGCAGAGCCGGTTGCCCTTCTCCATGAGGGCGTACAGGTAGTTCCCCGAGGGGTGCATGGCCACCCAGCGGGGGTGGTCTCTGGCGTCGGGGCATTCCACGCTGCCGACGAGCTCGAGAGTCGCGCTCCGGGGGGGCGAGGGCGCTTCCGCCAGGCGGCGGTGAACCCAGAGCTTGTTGGCCTTGAGGTCTGCGGAGTAGAGGTACGTTTCTGACGGGTCGAAGACCATGCCGTGGATGCCTGAGTCGGGCTGGTAGGCGTAGTGCTGGACGGCGGTGTCGAGGGCTCCCGAGGGGGATGAGGCGAAGACGGTGCCGTGGCCGGCGTGGCTGTAGAAGGGGTTGCAGTATACTGCGTAGGGCGGCTGCTTGGCGGCCAGGAGGAAGATGGCGCGTGTGTTGGTGGACGGCGACGACGCTTCGGCTACATGGTGTTTGGGGATTTAGTATGAAGGAGGAGGAGGGAAAAGGGGGGGTATGCATACGTTGATGAAGCATTGGGTGGGAGGCTTGGTGGGTGATGGTTGTGGGGGATTCGACGGCGAAGCTGGACCATTTCTTCATGGCGGCGCCGTAGATGTTTTTTTTGGAGTGCTGTTGTGTGTGTCAGGATTTTTTGGTTTTTTTTTTTTTCGGGATATCAAGCGAAAGTCGCGAGGAGGTGGCTCTACATCGAAAGTCATCCAGGAAATGGGTTCATCTTCAGGGATTGGTGTCCGCTTGATGAGCTCGACGGTGAGCTTTTGGTCGTCAAAGGCGAATGTGAAGATTGCTCCTGGCGGCGTCCAGGTGCCGACCATGAGGTGGTGGACGGGCATTGCTGGAGTTTGGAGTTGTGGTGTTGCAGTAGATGTGCGTCGTGAAGTCTGAAGAGGTGAGGTTTGGATGTGAGTTGATACTTTGTGCCAGGGCAACTGGACACCCGCGGGGCTATTGCGAGGTCGAGTTTAAGGTATTCATGATTCAGAATTTCACGATGAATGCGGGAATGTAGAATATAGAATGTCGAATGTCATTCCAGATGCGTATTCATTCAGCCGGTACGTAACTACTATTACTGCTATTCCTTCCGATCTCGCGCCTCAGGACCATGAATGATGTCAGCATGGACAGCTCTGGTAAAACAATGACCCCTCCCCCGTCATTGGTTGAGCTCGGGCCAAAATGTGAACAAGGCGCCCGTGACGCGCTCGGGAACCTCTGGCGGCAATTCACCGTCATCCGAGATTCTGGAGACTCTGGCCAATAGGAACAGGGTTATCCGCCGGATGCTGCAGCCGGCTTGTGAACGGAGCGTCCGCCTGGACCGGGTGAATCAGTAATTCAGTGCTAGTCGTACTAGCAGTGCTTAGTTCAAGACCTTTTTGCGGGGTTTCGGCTGCCGGATCTGTGTATGTTTCTCATGATTAGGGTTGGGTTTTACATGAGTTGCAGGCAAAGAGGGGACCGTGGGTGAATGCTTGCCAACCGGCGCGCGTGAGAATGTCATCCGCATCCTGATGCCGAAGCCTGCCATGCCTGGATCATCTGGGGGGAATATATATCTGACATGAATCCCCCGTTAAACAGCTTTTGTGTTTCTTTGTTTTTTCAAGTAAGCTACTTTTCAGACTTCCAGCTTTGACTTGTCTGCCTCCAAGACCACAAGACCGCGGTAGCGACCTCGGAGCTCTTTGCTTGCCCTTTTGTCAATTGCAACATTTCCGTGCTTTGCATCTTCATACGCCTCTCACCATGGCGTCCAACGGTCTCACAAACGGCTCCTCTGCCGCACCAACCAGCCGCTTCGATCCCAACTTCACCAGTCATGTTATCAAGACCATGGGTCCCAACATGACGCCCAGAAATCGCGAGGTCCTCAGCAGCTTGATCAGACACCTGCACGACTTTGCGCGAGAGGTTGAACTAACCAATGACGAGTGGATGACCGGCGTTCACTTTGTCAACTTTATCGGACAGACGTCCACCAAGACAAGGAACGAGGCGCACCGAATTTCTGACGTTCTTGGTCTTGAATCGTATGTTTGCCCGTCTCTCTCTTCTCTCCCTTTCTCTCCCCCTTTCTCTCTCTCTCTACACATATATATATCTATTTCGCCGTATATACATACATGGACATGTATTATATATACTTCCTTCATACCCAAGGACGAAGAAAGAAGCACCAATGAAAAAACACAGCTGACTCCCTTTACAACAACAGCCTCGTCGACGAAATCGCCAACAAAATCATCGCCGAAGGCGACATCGACCCGACTTCATCCTCCATCCTCGGGCCCTTCTGGTCCCCGAATGCGCCATTCCGCGACAACGGCAGCACCATCATCCAGAACCCCAACCCCAAGGGCCGCGTGTGCAAGATGCACGGCACCATCAGCGATCTCCTCACCGGCAAGCCCATCCCCGGCGCCGTCTTCGACATCTGGCAGGCCAGCGCCAATGGCAAATACGACTTCCAGGACCCGGAGAACCAGACCCCCAACAACCTGCGTGGTAAATTCACAGCCGACGAGAACGGCAAGTACTGGTTCTACTGCTACCACCCTACGGCCTATTCGTTGCCTACCGACGGTCCGGCTTACCAGCTTCTTACCTTGATGGACCGTCATCCCATGCGTCCTGCACACCTTCACATCATGGTATGTTTCTTTCTCCCCCAGTTTGACGAGTCCCAGAGCCAAGTCTGCAAAAGGCGACTGTCAAACCCGCTTGTAAAGAAGAAAGAAAAAACGTGGCAAACGCTAACTTACATGACTTCTCGTGCAACAGGTGACCCATCCCGAGTTCAGGGGCTGCACCACGCAGCTGTATCCCAAGGACGATCCCTGGCTGGAGACTGACACCGTCTTTGCCGTCAAGGACGACCTTGTGGTCGACTTTAAGCCATTGAAGGGCGATGACAAGGCTGTTCTAGAGCTCGAGTATAACGTCGTCTTGTCGCCCAAGGGCTACAAGGGCAAGACTTTCTAACTGCGGGAGAGGTCGGTAGTAGGGGAGAGGCAAGGGGGCCATGGATTCTGTGACACTTCTGGCAATTAGATCAATTTGCATGTGTATATGTATATATGAGGACTGGGAGGATTGGTACGGACATGCATTATATATCCGTTCGTGAATTGGCAAAATGAGACATGACCATTGTTCTTCATCCACTGCTGGTTCCTGCCTCTCGTGATGAGAGTATATTGTGACTCGTGAGTAAGACATGTTTGACCTAGGGCTGAGACTCAAAACTTGAAGCTAGATTCGACGGCGTTGGGGGAGGAGATCGAGATGCCGCGAGACATTGCCTCTGGCGTTGTTGATAACACGACTGTGCATGTGCCTTCCATGTTGTTTCAACGCATAACGCATGTACTATCCTGAATTATCACCGTCGGGCTGGTTCCATTGAATGCGGTGCGACATTGACCGGACGGCTCATAATGAACCACGAGTGTCTCTGACGTCGGCACGGCGAGATGCTCACCAGCAACCACCTGCATCTCCGCCACATCAATACCCAATTGCTCGGTCGCACAACCTGTGGCCATGGAATGGTCGTGTCCAACCGAGTATGCAAATGCGAGGTCGAGGCCGAGGCGTGGGCAGGCTCGGGCGATAAGATAAGCCATAACGGTGGTCGCCACAGCAACGGCCCCGCTAGTCAACAACGGTGGTCTAAACCTGATCTAGAGGACAGCTTCTCGAGAAACTATCCATTCCGCCTTTTTGTTTTATATTAGCAATGGTATAGAATAGTTCACTTCTTTCATCCCCGACTTAGTTGCCGCTTCCTGGTGCCGCTTGCTCCAAGCTTGGTGTTTCTTTATGCCTTGACCCTCTCTTTTTTTGTTCCTCTACGACGCAGACACTCAAGGGGCCGTTTCGTTGCTACCAACAGACCAGTCTGTGGCTGCGGCAATAACGGGCTAACGGCCGGGTCTGGCAACGGTTTTGGCCAACGGTTTTTTGGGGAGAAATCGCCTTGATAATTGACACGTTGGTCTATACCGCCGGCAATGGCATCCGGCAGCTGCGGCGAAAATCCCAGTTCTAAAGGCAATTCCCCGTCCAAGCCACCCTCGTTTCTAGTTTCCTTTCTCCATCGTCGACAACCCTCGAGTGGCAAGGCGTTGCCGACTGTCTCACCTGTTCAGGGACAGCTTGGCTGTTCCGACATCACCATGGCTGGACAATTCGTTCGGAATAACCCTGGTGCCTTGGGTGAGCTGCAGCAGAACCACCAGGATGTCGCTCCTCGCTCTCCAAGAAAATCCCGTGATGAACCTCGAGCTGGTGCCCAGTCACCCACAAAGTCTGCCCTGGGCAAGCTTACATTCCGATCCAATACCGACAAGGAGACGGCGCGGATGGCCAAGTCCCGAGATCCATCGCCAGACAAGAAGCCCAAGAAAACCAAGTCGGGAACCAATCTCGTAGGACTGCTGTCACGACCGAAGTCGCTCAAGAACTTGTACAAGCTGGCTACTGAAGAAGAGAGCCGAACAAAAGATAAGGAGAATATGACGCCCGATGTGACACCCGTCAATGAACGACCACCGCCGATTTTCGCCCAGTTCACTTCCGACCGAGCCATGAGGCAGGGGAGCAGTTCTGAAAACACCCCAATTCAAGCTACCAAGGACCGCCCCAGGTCGTTCCAGCCTCCAAAGCCACATCACGATCTTTCACAGTCCTCGTCACCCTCCAAGACGGGCGGTCGTGCTACGCGGCCCGTGTCTTTGCACCCGGGTCAAACCCCTCGCGGTAAAGGTCCTTTCGGCCATGGCCGCGCCAAATCCACGGCCACGACCCCGACGAATACGTCCTCTGAACTGCAAATCGACCCAAAAGATATTGATCAGCAGCTGGAGGCTCTTCTGGATCGTCGGAACATTCCCGAAAACCAGCGATACAAGATGCGTAACTTGGCCGACACCATCAAGCTCGAGTTTATCCGTCAGGATTACGCCGAGATGCAGGCCGCTAGAGCCGATGGGCCCGGAACTACAGGTACGACAGGCAGTACGAGCAGTTCCGAACAGGCCCTTGTCAGCGACCCAAATAGTCCTACTGAGGATGAGGAGAGACCAAAGCGCAGCCGCGGAAGAAGCTTTACATTTTCCCGAGGCAAGAAGGATTCTAGCTCGCCAGCAAAGAAGTCCAAGGCAGAATCAACTCTTGGTCGTCATTTCAGAAGCCGATCCACAGACAGTGTCGCTTCTGATGCCCGTCCTTCCTCCTCTTCGTCGTTCAAGGGATCCGGGTTCCTCTCCAAGATCAAGGCTCAGCAAGGCCCGTCTGACTACGTCGCGTACCTCAGAAAGGTACAGAAGCCGGAACTGGTAGAGGTTGGAAAGCTTCACAAGCTACGTCTCTTGTTGCGGAATGAAACTGTGGCGTGGATTGAAGACTTTATACAGCAAGGCGGCATGCACGAGATTGTTGGGTTGCTGAACCGTATCATGGAGGTTGAGTGGAGGTAAGTGCCACACAAACCAGTCCAAGAGGGGAATTCTATTCGAGACTGACATGACGTTGCAGAGAGGAGCACGAGGATGCTTTGTTGCATGAGAACTTGCTGTGTTTGAAGGGCCTCGCCACCACTGCCAAGGCTATGGAATATCTCAATGCTGTTCAAGCGGATCTGTTCCCGAAGCTGTTGCATATGCTCTTCGACCCAGAGAAGAAAGGACCCAGCGAGTTTACTACTCGAAACATTATTACGTCAGTTCTTCTAACATATATAGAGTCTGCTCCACTGGTGGAACGCGTTATCAGAGCCAAGAATGTGCTCGGTCATCTTCGAGATAAGGATCCAGAAGAAGGCCAGCGTCCACTTCCATTCGTCTTGGAGATGAGACAAGAACGACCATACCGGGTTTGGTGCAAGGAAGTGGTCTCTGTGACAAAAGAAGTCTTCTGGATTTTCCTGCACAACTTGAATGTCGTTGCGTTGGCCAGTGACAAGGCGGCACGGTCTACTGCTCAAGAAGGCTACTTTGCTAGCAACGAGGACCGTGACGGCCCATTTGGATATATGCTGCGTAATTTCCCCCAGGAGCGTCCACCAGTCCCTGCTGCCCCATATGTCGGGGGTGTCGAATGGGATGCGACAAACTACCTCGCTTCTCATCTGGACCTCATGAACGCCATCATCGCTTGCACTCCTTCCGCCCGCGAGCGAAATATCCTGCGAGCCGAGTTCCGCATCTCAGGGTGGGAACGATGCCTCGGCGGCAGTCTCCGTATCTGCAAGGAGAAGTTCTACGGCAGTGTACACGTCGCTCTGCGAACATGGGTTGCTGCTGCAGCCGAGGATGGCTGGGACGTCAAGGATGTCCGGTTCGGTCCTCCTCCCGAGTCGAGGTCTCCCAAGAAGATGGGCGGCGGTCAGAAGCCCAAGATTATTGAAGCACCGCCAAAGTTGGAAATGCCCAAGCTCGATTTTGGGGCCAACCAGCCCTCGAAGGATTCTTGGCTGTAATGAAAATATCGGCGGGGCCCACGGGTCGTGCCATCTCTGCATTTAATTAAAAACAAAAGATTGGATAAGGAGCAATGGTATCTGTTGGCACCACTCACTCCTTTGCATCTGCGTTTCATCATTTCTTATGGTTACCAGTCCATTTGGGTTATCAGTTACATTTTAGGATTCTCTCCGGGGGATTTCTGTATTTCTTTTTTCCTTCACTGTTTATACTTGGGACTGTTGGTATGGTACAAATGCATTGATTGCATGAATGAATTGACGACTTATGAAACATTTGTCTGGGCCGAAGTGATGCGTGATGTGGCTGTTTCATCGTTGGGAGACTTTGTTTCTCTTCCTGTCCCGAGCCCTACTTCGTAGCCTTGGGATGGCCGTTTTTCCCCACCCCAATCGACAGGGCAAGCATCGGCCAAAACTCAAGTATGTACCAAGTGCGAGGTGTCAATGTTTGCTAGGGTCAAGCACGGTACAAGTTCCCTGGAAGCATGGATAGACAAAATCATCCTAGTAAATCGTTGCAGTCATTACCCAAATCGGTCGTCTAACATACAGAAATGTAAGGTGTCAAGTAAAAAAGAAAAAAAGGAAAGGAACTTCATGTACCCCGGTGGAGCTTGAACGCGTCGTACACCGACATGCCCTTTAGCACGTCCTGCTTGACCTTGTCGTCCGCGGCAATGAGATTGGGCAGCATCTCAAGGACCTGGTCCACCTTGTCTTTGGGGATGATGACGACGCCGTTGACGGGGTCCTGGAAGGCAATGTCTCCCGGGGACACGGTGACGCCGTTGATGTCCAGGGGCACTTGCATGGCCCACGGGACGCTGCCGCCCCCGGACCCGACTGTCGAGAGGCCGTGGGCTAGAATCTGTTGGCGATGGGAGAAATGGGTTTAGTCACGCCCTGTTTATCTTGGAATCAAGGTGAGCAGTGGGGAAAGCAGTACCGGAAGGTTGGTGCTCTTGAGTTCCTGCACGTCTCGGACGCGGCCGGCGACAATGATGCCCTTTGCATCTCGCATCTTCATGCGGAGGGCCATGATGCCGCCGCAGATGGCGTTCGTCTGGCCAGAGGGCTGCTTCATCACCACAAATGTACCCGGTTCTGTGGCGTCGCTCCAGTGCGTGTCTTTGGGGACGTTTGGCTGTGGTTCGGACAGGACCTCGCCCTTGGCTGCGAACAGAATGGTGGACACGGGCGCAATGGTTAGGGTATCGGCATCCTTACCCGATTTGGTGCTATATGGGTTGAGATCTGCGATGAATCCTGCCCCGGGAACCTTGAGCTTGAGAAGGGCGTCTGAGATATCACATGCAGTGTACTGCTCGAGGCGGGCGAGCGTAGCGGGCGGCATGGCTTGTGACGCTGGACGGGGGACGACGCTGGTAAATGGTGTTGTGCGGAGAAGGCTGAGCCGTGGTACAGAGATTCTGGGTGCAATTAGAGCGCAAGATGAATACATGGCTCTGCAACAGCCAGTGTTTCTTGTGTGTTGAGTCGAGGCCGCGCATTGGCACCCGTCTGAAGTTCCCATGTCGTTGCCCCTCGGCTCGGCTGACCCATCCTGTCCGTTGCAAGTCCGGTGGGCCAGGGCGGTTTGCGGCTTCCCGGTTGGGAGTCGCTGCACGGGTATACACGGGAGCTCCCGTCCGGCTGCCGAATGGGCCAATCAGAATCAGAGCGGTTATTCCACGAATCTGTCTTCGAGTCTCGTCCGGCATGGGCCACGATGTCTTGGTGTAACAAGAGCAACCTGTGCTGAAATATTTTCCGTATCTTGTGGTGCGGCCATCTGGGAAGGGAGCGGCTTCCCTGGGCAACTTTCTGTCCGTGTCTTCCTTCTTTTACAACGTGCGCATACCTCTCCCGGAGCCAGCTCTATTTCCCATCTGTTTTCGCCCGGCGTTACGACATGGCTTGCCGACGGACGAGACGGGAGGCATCCCGGAAGCCGAAAGCCGCGTATGAGGGATGACTATGCCGACGGCGTGCCTGCAAAGCTTGAGTGGCAGATGGATGATTCCAGGCAAGCATCGAGCAGATCTGCCGTGTTTGGGACACTAGTATCGTATCTGCCCCTTTCCTGCAAACGTGCCATACGAGGAATCCAAGCTTGCCAAGCCTTATGTATGTTTGTTGATAAGGCGTGTTGCGACCAAGGTGGGTGTGCGGTGTACTCGCTGCAGAGCAGGCAGTGCAGTGGTCTAGACTTCAGAATCCGGCGCACAAGCTTCGAATTTATCAAAGCAACTAAACAGCCGCGACTTGGAGTCGGCTGATTACAGACATTGGCAAAATCTGATATGAGAGACATGGCGATTGCTAGTGCGACTGCGTGGTATGTCTCCGAACCTTGTTGCTAATTTTAGTTTCAACACTCAGCTCGGGTCCTGAAGTCTCTCAAGTTCTTCGGCTGGTCGATACTTTGAATTGGTTGGGCACCGGGGGGTAGCTGGTGTTCGTCAGCCCAGATCGACACGGCAACGGCACGGTGCACATGTATTATACCGACAGCTGAGTTCAATTTATGGCGGATTGAATCTCTCTTGTGCACATCATCAACATGACTCGAGTGTCGGTTTTCGCAGCTTGGTTGAGCTTCCTCCCGAAACAGCATTTGCAATTCCTGGAGTCCTGCCAGATACAAATGCCGAGACGCAGGCCGAGTCAGCCGGCCATTCGATGTCGTCATTGTTGCACTTCATGCAGGTACGAGATAGCAACTTAGCCCTATCTGCTCCCTAGGTGGATGAATTGGTCCAAGGTGGTCGGCCAAAACCAGCCTGCAGTTCACATCTCACTTGCATTAGCCCTAGAGGGATCGTCGCCTGATCATTTCGAGGCCTGGCTAGTGCTGCTACCATGTTCATCAGCATGAACTCTTGGTCCTAGTCCTTCAGGTGATAAGCCCTTCCTGACTAGGCACTGCTACCTTGCCAGCCAGATGGCACATACAGTTTACCTAACGTCTGGGTCATTATCGGCCAGCTTCGTGGCCACCTCCTATTGTTGAACGGCCACGGGTAGAAAGGCAGAGGCGCAGTCGGACCAAGGCGGAACACCACACAAATGCAGCAGGCAATACCACACCTATCGCGATAACCATCCACGCTTTTAACGGGGACGAGTGTCCTTGCCCGGCCCACGGAATGCTGGCGCTGGGTCGAGATGCTGGAACCCCACACCAACAAGGATTATGGCTGGATTCAACAGAGTGAGGGATGCGACAGAGTGGCGGACATCCAGCAGCACATCCAGCAGCACAGTGGCGTTGCGCGGGCCTGTCTGCTTTTCTGTCATCAAGTCGCGCCAGAGGACTTGAGACATTGCTGTACGAGTGCGTGGTCTTGGACCCTGCTTGTAAGGGCATTTGGAGCATTCTTCACCAGGCAGTATGATGATCCACCCGCGTGCTCCGAATGTCGCCCAACGAGAAGAGAAGACGAGAGAAGACAAGAGGAGAGACGGCATCCATCTGTGAGAGACAAGCCCCTTCCAATTTTGATGGGGCTCTTGCTACTGGTTGCCCCTGCCTGCCTGCCTGCCTGCCTATTTGCACTACTTGATGCAGCATCGCTGCTTGCCGCTTGCCTTGTTGCCTGCCTGACCGGGATGGCTTGGCCTCAGGCACGTGGAGAACGAGACGACGGCAGCTCGCGCTCACCCCTGGCGTACGTATAGTGCCGATGTGCAATTGAGAAACAATGAAATACTACTACCAGGGGACGGAGTATCTGAGCCGACAGCTCAAGGAACACAGATAGTAGTGAAAACCTTGGTTGGTCATGAGAAAGGCGCCAGAAACGCAGACGAGTCAGGTTTCGCCCAGCGAGTCGTAGGTGTGTCTGTTCTGTCGACGCCAGCATTAGACGACATTGGAGGCTGCTCGTTGATCTTGCCTTGCCAAGTACAGACAGAGTGAGGAGTGAGTGTTCAAAATCTACCTAGTCTTGTCAGTCAAGGTCTGGTACTACGTACGTATGAAGCCCGGAATATAGTGCTGAACACCACCAGGACGACAGATGGAAGACCAACTTGACCTCTTGGCTAGTCCATCCATATCCATACAGCATGTACATCAGGTCCCGGAATAATTCAACGGGTGTTGGCCACTGCGCAATGCAACACAAGACTACTGGTGTAGGTCGTTAGCTGTGTGTATAAATACAGCCAAGACCGAGCGCTGCATATACTATGTACATATGTACGTAGTATATACGGAGTATATATATGCATTAGTAGTTGTGTTCCCAACAACCCGGCATCTTGTTTCACAAGCCCTTTTAGGCTTCGGCCGTTGTAGCATCCCCTTCCTTTTTCTGCCCTGCCGGATCCAATCGCTGAAGAAGTCTAGAGCCTGTTTCCTAGTTGGAGAGAAGCGTCCGGGGGGTCCATCAAGGGACGCCAAAAAGACGTCAGGGTCCCCTGGCCGAAATCTCTGGCTCGTCAACTCTGTGCATGGCTGAGTGCCTGTGTAAATACTGTACTGTTTTTGGTCATCACACACATTTGCAACAAAGCCTCGTGTGTGGAGACGGCTTCACGTCTGGGGTTGGGTCTTCACAAGGCATGACGACGGAGACGAGACGGAGTGGCATCTAAGTATGCATCTGTCGAAAAATTGGCCTCATTTGCACCACCGCGTCGATCATGTCTGGACAATGGCCTGACTGATTGACTGACCGAATGCCAGCCTGCTGCGCATGCGACTGAGGAGTAAGTTACTTGGTACTCGTAACGGACCATATCCCAGACACAAATGACAATTTCTCCTCGACCCAACAGCCGACTGCGTGCCTAGATGGCTGTTTGGCCCTTGATGCCGCGCCTGCAAGTCGTTGAATTCACTGGTCTCGTTTTTCCGGGTCGTGAGATTACGGCGCATGTCCAGATGTTGTTGGCAGTTGGTCGATGGAGTTCTGCTGGTCTGTTGTATGTGCCGTCGGACCAAGTGGACGCAAACTCGCTCCTCCAACTTGGTTTGCTTGGGCACC